ACATACGGCTCGCACTTAATCACAGATGTAAGAACCCAAAGGACGCCAGGATCTGTGCACGTCATATATCGTGTTACATACAAATCTTATTCCTCTTATACTGTACTATTATGAAGTTAGACCGTTTTAGCTGTAGCGTGTTCCCCCTTAACCTTATTACAAAATAAAAGACCTATTATCAAAACCACACTTGATGTGAATAAGAAGAATAGATGAATCCAATTGATGGTAATATCACCATCACCCTGGTACTTCCCAATTGCTTGTTAAAGGGGACATTGCTCCGTGCAGCAATGGAAATTGAAGGATAGAGAGCTAATAGGCAGTAAATCTGCAGCAGTCTAGTCGGTTGTGCTACAGTTGTGCTAAGTCCATCAACTCCATCGAGTATTCTTGAACACATGCACAGTTTTTGTGTATCACCAGCAAGCGGTCCTCCTCTTGCGCAATACAAGCACAAGAACTGTAAAACTGCTTAAGTTGCCCCCTAGTGTGATGCTGACGATGCTGTGTGCTGACGATGCTGCTGATTTCATTCCACCCACGTATATGTATAGCCGGCACAAAATCATTTCATGAGGTTAAGGGTGACACATTGGGAAACCTAGTGGTTGATACGCTATATCGATCGTTGAACCATCGAGGAAGTCTCAAGCAATATGATGAGTACAGCCGCCACAACACTGTCGAGCCATAAAATCGATATTTCCCGATGATCGCGCCATCGCTCAACGACAAGCGAAATGTATTGTTAGCGGATTGAAAACTCTCTTATCAGCTCATGTTTGATTTAGCTTAGGCTGCACCAACTGCGGTACGTCAAGTTAAACTGGATCATTTGTCTCAATGAGACATCGATCGTCCTACTATTGACATATCGCTGTGAAAGAGTGAGTCAAGGTAGTGTAGAGGGCGCGAAGCTCTCACCTCTCCGAGACGCCAGCATATGAACTTATTTCAGTTTTTTCCGGTTACCTATTCCTTTCCCAAATCGTTAGATTCGTGGTCGAAACAAAATAAAATGCCAGAAAAAGTTTCTTTTAAGCGATTACAACTTATTTATCGGTCGGGTGAAATAAAAAAAAATGAAAGGTCCTTTATTTAGAATCACAACGGTTACGTCACTTACTTAAACTGCCAGGTCAAAAAGTATACACTTGAAAATTGGATTTGACTAAAAAACTACAAACGTTATTAAACGTTACTAAACTGAAAACGGTTACCGAAACACCACAAAAGTAATGTCCAAAACACACCTACGACACCTATTCAAATACATCACCATCGAATAACCATGGCCAGTTATTGTTTTTGCTTCACTTTTAACCACCATTAAACATGGGTGTAAACTTTCTTTTTTCCGTCAGTTTATTTTAACGATCTTTGAAGTTTTTTGCTTCACTGGAACTTGGTGGTGAAACAATACTCTTCTAGAAATTGTATTTTTATTCAACATTACGAACATTTGGGTCAGCGGATCCATAAACCAACAACCTCATTTGAATCCACACAGTCAAGTAGCCCTCCTAAGGTCTAAAGATAGCCTGGCACGGGCATGCTGGTTGTGTAAGTTGCCATATGCTGTTAAACGTATCTCTAATTATAGTTTATAATACTCTGACATTACACCATAAATGCAAATAGTTTTATAATTGTGTCGATCGACTTTTTTTCACGGTTAATGATTCACTAATTATCAACACTATTTGTTGGGGAGACGCCTCGTAGATATTTGACCGCTGATGCAGCATTACGTGTTAACTCCTTCACTTCAGAGTTAGTTCACCCATTGCATTATAACATGGGGGTTCAAATGCACATAATCATTGAACAGCTGCTACCAATTACAACCCCAATATCATCATATCTATAACATTTAATGGCCATACAGAGACCACGCATCAGTTGCAGCCGGGATAGAACAGGTCTTCAGCCTTACGAAAAAGGCGACTATGCTTGTCGTAAGAGGCGACTAACGGGATCGGATGGGCAGGCTCGCTGACTTGGTTGATGCATGTCATCGTATGCCAATTGCATAGATCGATGCTCAAGTTGTCAGTCACTGGATTGCCTGGTTCAGACCACATACAAAAACTTCTGACATCAATACGAAATCAGCGTTATCAGCTAACCAAGAAACAGTAGTCCGTTAGTTGACGTGGCCTATTGTAAATATACTGCTTGGCTAGCAGATTAAATGCCACGGAATCACTTGCAAATTATTAACATAATTATGTTTGCGATTTTTAATGAACTCAGACAATTCCCAGTTGCGAAAACTGCAAAGTATTAAGGCAAACTTAAAGTATGTGAAATCATTTATTGCACAGAAAGTTTCTCTCTTCCAAAATAAATATATGCTTATGCGGATTTAATATGTGGAATAGCTACGTTCAGCTAGACTCGTCTATTTTCATTATCTTCATATCGATGGAATGAGATGCAAACATCCCGCAGTCACACTGTTACGCTACAAAGTATATGACTCTACAACAGGAGGCAAGTGTATTGACCAAATGTTTACATAAAATGAGAGAATAAAGCATAGGCGATGATTTATGTGTTACTGCAAGATCTCCTCTGTTCAGCTTATTGTGTCGTTGTCAAAGCGTTGTGACTGAACAGGCTGATTATTCCTATGCATATCCCTGGGGTTGGGTCTCGGAATAACGCAGCTTAACGATATGGTCCAGCAGGCTATGTGGAATATCTGTGTTTGTGGAATCCAATGCCGACTTTAGCCCGTTCCAATGTAGCTGGAAGTGACCAGCTATGAGAAACGGTGTTCAGATACAGCGATTGAATGTCATCACCTCAAATCACTTAAAAGTAGGATTATCAAAATTCACAAATCAAGGGTGAACATATAAAGTATTTAACAATTATATCTAGATTGAGTAGTGCCTTCCACAGAGCAAAGAATCTGTACTTCCCCAACGCCGTCCTCAAGGATTCAACAGCTTAAATAATAGCTACCAGCATTGCGAGATCCTCCCATACCCCACCTCCCACACTCCCACTACAAACACACACACAGACACACACACACACACATATTCCGGTGCATGCCCCCGGGTAGAATATCGGCGTACAGTCCCCGGGACCAAGGAGACGGTCAATATTGCACTGTATTATTGATGTCTTTGTCAGCCGATGCAGGTGCTCCACTTCGGATAAACAATGGCATGCATCCAAGCTAGCTGCTGGTGTGCAATGAGTCGTGTCGCGCGAACTTTGTTTTCCTGCAGCCTTCGTCGCATGTGAATCCATTGTACCCTTATGAAATAATAATCACTATCGATTGACTCGACCACTTTCTATTTCAATAACATCCTTGTGTCGTCAGAAATCGATATTGTTGAAAAAGAAGTATGGTGCTTTGTAGACTGGCAATGTCTGCATTTCATGAAACATACAATCTAGCCTCTTTGTCTCGAGTCATGAAGACCGTCAAATATATGTCGAGTTATGCGTAGTTCGTAGAAGAAGAGTGTCGATGCCACACGATTCTGCAGGGGGCACATCGTCATGAACAATTTAACCACACAATGGGGATAGAATTAACAATATTTCTCTCACCAATATTGTATTTAATGGAAATAAAGTAAATGGTGTTACTTCGAAGTTTTCCCCCGCATCAAGCTAACAAGCCGTGAAATTCTGTTCAAAGCGGCGTAAAACTAGCCACTCAAAGGGGTGGGGGGTGGGAGATTCATGTTATCAGTTACCCGAAAAAGAGCATCCCATAACCTGTCACTGACCCCATGAATAGCATCCTTTAATCTGGCAGTGACCCCACGAATAGCATCCTTTAATCTGTCAGTGACCCCATAAATAGCATCCTTTAAATCTGCCACACACCCCATGAATAGCATCCTTTAATCTGTCAGTAACCCCACGAATAGCATCCTTTAATCTGTCAGTGACCCCATGAATAGCACCCTTTAATCTGTCACATACCCCATGAAAAGCATCCTATGATCTGTCAGGATAGCGTAAATATACACATAAAACAGCTTAGTTATAGCCGTGCAGTGAAATATAATAACCTATCAACAAAACTGCTATTTATAGTTTCATTTTGAATGGTGAATGTCGTAACTTGCAAATTATGATAAATAGTTTGAAGATTTCATTTTGTTTGAAATGTCCTTGTATATTGTAAATTATCCGGTGTGTAGCATTGTCAGAGTCAGAAAGGTTTACATTCGATCTTATAGAGATCTATAAAAAGATTCAGTAAAACATACTACAGCATTATCTACAGCAGAGACCATACAATTTATAGTCTCTGCCTACAGTAACCACTTTGAGGGCACCGCCTTCTCGCATCTGTTCCACATGATGCCACCGTCCGTATTAAACACACAATCTGTCACTGTCAGTCGCTGAGGTGACGAGACAAACAGTTTACTTAGCCTCAGGCTGAAAGTATTTCATCGTTGACACATGGTACTAAAACTTTGGCAGCTGTAATCTGCTAATAACGTGCTGAAACATGGGCATTCTGGACATTTCAAGTGGATACGAAAAGTGAAAAGTGAAAAACAAACCTCCTGACTGACAACTGAATTAAACAATGCCCCAGTTTCGCGTACACAAGTAATGCATTCCTATCATACATATTTATACAGCGCAGTGCCCGGATGGAAGAAGACGCTCATAAAGAATGGAGACCGTGATGAAATACCATCGCCCGTCCGAAATACACCCCGCACCTTATATAGACCGTGACCTTGACACACAGCTGTGTAAACGATTACCATGGAAATCGGGAAGTTTGTATCTTCGAATACAGTACCTATTTTCGACGGCGACCATACACCCTTGACAACAATACTTTGTTGTTTAGAGTTGAGAAAAGAGAGCCGTGTCTATAAACGCCCAAGCCTCGAATGTTTTTATTTGCACTAACACTCAGCAATATCTGTTATGATCTTGCTCAATTCTTCTTGGGATATAGCTCACAAAACACATATGAAAAGGTATTAAGTACATACAGTAAATGCAACTGACCTGCCTTGTCCGGCTTCTCAAAAACTGCAACTGCCGCTGAATCTAACAGGTTTTCCGCGTCCTGTTGCTTCTGCCCCAGATACAGCGAATGTTAATGAGACCTGGCACCAAAGATGCTTCTCTTTCGCCTCGATTGCTGATGCTGCCGTCACGGTAATGTGACCAGGGGAGGTAACTCGTGATAATGAGGCCCTCTAAGGGTTGGAAGAATACGACGGGAAGTAGGCAACGCTTCAGGCGTTTATTGTAAGAGCGTTGTATTGTTATCAATGGCATAATTATCTTCCCCTTTGCCTCTTTATCATCAACACTACCATCATCATTATAACTATATCCATATCATCGCAGAAGTTGTAGAAGTAACATAGTATTATGAACTAAAAAGGAACCTTTGTCTTTGAGCTTGGTCATGTTTCAAATAGTCCCATTTGAAATTTTGTACAGTTCTTGACACAATTCTATAACTGTTGATAGTCGAGGGTGAGACCCAGTACACCCCACCACGGCCACAGGAAAGGCGTGCGACTCGGGACATGTCACGCAGACAACAGAGTACATAGAACTCCTCTGAAACAGACGACCAATCAAGAGGTCAGAGCCATCCCGCCAGTGTGATATATAGAGCACCCCCAAATACTAAGACTACATGGAGATGGGTACAACATGGGTACGGCCATGCAGGGCCTTAAAGATTTTACGACGCACCACCATCTTATTCTCCAACAACACTTAATACTGTGGTGGCAAATGCTGTTGAATATATATATTTTTTGGAATATTTCAGGATCAACCTCAAATACGGTTGACATTGATACAACTGACTACCTGAAAACCTTTGATGTCATTGGCCTCACTGAAACATAGATGAATGATGCAGCTTCACAGTTTGAATCTATGTGTCATTATTTCTCTCTTTTCTATAGGAAACCTGGCATCTCAAACCGGGGGATTATCAGGTGGAATAATTGTTTTCATAAGGTAGGAATTTGGTAAATACATGAAGTCTACTAAGTGTACGGAAAAGTGTATTTGCGTACTGTTTGACAAATCACTAATTGGTTAACATGAGATTTATATATCCCGTTGTGTACATTCACCCCTTAAGTCGACATGGTATAGGTATGTGGGAATAGAGGGCAGAACAGTATTTCATCACTACAAGAAGACATTGTTGGTGTGTTGTTAGACACAGATGGCGATGTGATACCTTCAGATGTCGATTCAGTGGTCGCACGTGTACTGACCGGGGGAATGATATTGCTGAACACATCTTCACTATTTCTTGGATTATTTCAGTCTCGCACGGAATTGTGAATAGCTGTGGTGTTTAACTGCACATGTGTTGAATTGAAGATGCGGCTCTGATTCAGATTTTGGTGATTTTGCGTATGTATGTGTAATACAGTCATCAAAACTCTTTCACCACTGTACTGATTTACTGCCACCACAAGAACGGAATCATCCCACGCACCTGTCACTGTCACCCTGCAATCAGCAGAAGTTGTTTATCGAAAGAAATAAAGTGTCCCCAAAACGCTTAAAAAATAATTATGCTTTCATACTGTTGAGAAAAAAAGAACAAATTGTCTGCCACAAAATTTACATTGCCCTACACCCTACACCCTACACCCTTCACCCTACACCCTACACCCTTCACACTTCACACTACACCCTACACCCTACACCCTACACCCTTCACCCTACACCCTTCACCCTTCACCCTACACCCTACACCCTACAACCTACACCCTACACCCTACCATTTACGAATATGAAATAGCTGTATTCTCGTTACTGTGATTACATTTCGACTTACGTGTCAATCTTAAAGTGACATTTCATTCTCTTTCGGTTATTCATGGAAAGAAACCCACGCACTGACTTCAGCTATAAAGGGGCATAACTCTTGATGTACTCTACGCAGACATTAAATGAGCTTCTCAAGTTTGCCATTAATCCGTACAAATATAACAGAGGGTGAGTATGGTTTTATGCAGCTTTTAGCGATAGTCCAGCAATATCACGATGGGGGACACTAATATAACAACTGCTACAACTAATACTACTGCTACTTATAATGATACAGATGTAACATAACAACAGCAATGTATATATTTGACTTTTCTGTACATTTGATGGAAATGTGACTAAAAGGATTCAGATAAATACAGCAAATATGCGGACCTCTGTAATGATGATGATGATGATCATAATGATGATGATGATGATGATGATGATGATGGAAAGATGGCGTCATGGAAAATGATTATTATAGATAGGCCCGTATACAGCCTCATATTCAATAAGTAAAATATAGTTGATACAATCATATGTATTGTAGCAAGCGTAATTATTCTCGTCATGAATACAGATATTGGTGATCGATACATATACAGGTAGTGAAGTATTCAGCATGTCCCTTCCTTCATCCTATATACGGGGCGGTCGGGTAGCCTAGTGGTTAAAGCGTTCGCTCGTCACGCCGAAGCCCATTTCTGGTGTCCCCCGCCGTGATATTGCTGGAATATTGCTAAAAGCGGCGTAAAACCATACTCACTCACTCACTCACTCACTCATCCTATATACAGGTAGTGAAGTATTCAGCATGTCCCTTTCTTCATCCTTTATACAGGTTGTGAAGTATTCAGCATGTCCCTTCCTTCGTCTTTTATACAGGTAGTGAAGTATTCAGCATGTCCCTTCCTTCATCCTATATACAGGTAGTGAAGTATTCAGCATGTCCCTTCCTTCATCCTATATACAGGTTGTGAAGTATTCAGCATGTCCCTTCCTTGGTCTTTTATACAGGCAGTGAAGTATTCAGCATGTCCCTTCCTTCATTCTATATACAGGTAGTGAAGTATTGAGCATGTCCCTTTCTTCATCTTTCATACAGGTAGTTAAGTATTCAGCATGTCCCTTCTTTCATCCTATATACATGTAGTGAAGAATTCAGCATGTCCCTTACTTCATCCTATATACCGGTAGTGAAGAAGTCAGCATGTCCCTTCCTTCATCCTATATACAGGTAGTGAAGTATTCAGCATGTCCCTTTCTTTATCTTTTATACAGGTAGTGAAGTATGCAGCATGTCCCTTCTTTCATCCTATATACAGGTAGTGAAGTATTCAGCATGTCCCTTTCTTTATCTTTTATACAGGTAGTGAAGTATTCAGCATGTCCCTTCTTTCATCCTATATACAGGTAGTGAAGTATGCAGCATGTCCCTTCTTTCATTCTATATACAGGTAGTGAAGTATTCAGCATGGCCCTTCTTTCATTCTATATACAGGTAGTGAAGTATTCAGCATGGCCCTTCCTTCATCCTATATACAGGTAGTGAAGTATTCAGCATGTCCCTTACTTCATCCTACATACATGTAGTGAAGTATTCAGCATGGCCCTTCCTTTATCCTACATACAGGTAGTGAAGTATTTAGCATGCCCCCTTACCTTCAAACTATATATGGAAAGTGAAGTAGCAGTGATACCCCTACTTCAACAGTTGTACTGGTGGGGAAGTTGACACCTGTCATTCTGTGTCACCAAAACGAATGCACCCCTGCGTACCTGTTATGGGACTGGTTCACCCGTTGAAATGAGACTCCGCCCATAATTATGTTGCGTTCGCTGAGCAAACCCAAGGGAGGCAGTATTGGATACTCGCACAGGTAGGGTGAAATACTGATCTTATACATTCTACGGACACAGTTATATGTTATTCAGAAAGTATTATTATACAGCGTTTGTCTCTCACAAACAACCTGTAACATATCACGTCTTTCCACGGCCATGAGTTTAGTTTCTGATAGAATGAGCTTGGCGTGTTAATGTTCAGAATGTATAGTGAACATATTGGTATTTCGTATTCATGTCTAATGACGCAAAGCAACAACGTCACATCAACAAGAGTTAGTTGCATAAACCATGAACGTTGTTTCAAGGAAGGGAAATTCGCTGATGAGGGAATGCTGTACTTAGATAATTCTTCTAAAATGTGATAATGAGGGAATGTTGTATTTAAAAAATTCGCCCCAATCGTGTTGTCTGCTAAATTATGACAATGTAATTATTAATTACTTTCTTTTATATGTGGAGGCAAATTGTAGCTTATATTTTAGGTTAAGGTTGTGGCATCATGTGTTGATGGGATTGCAGTTCATGTGTAAGTGGGATTACATTCCATGTGTTAGTTGGATTACAATCCATGTGTTAGTGGAGTTACATCCCATGTGTTAGTTGGATTACAATCCATGTGTCAGTGGGATTACATTCCATGTGTTAGTTGGATTACAATCCATGTGTTAGTGGGGTTACATCCCATGTGTTAGTGGGGTTACATCCCATGTGTTAGTGGGGTTACATCCCATGTGTTAGTGGGATTACATTCCATGTGTTAGTTGGATTACAATCCTTGTGTTAGTGGGGTTACATTCCATGTGTTAGTGGGATTACATTCCATGTGTTAGTTGGATTACAATCCTTGTGTTAGTGGGGTTACATCCCATGTGTTAGTGGGGTTACATTCCATGTGTTAGTTGAATTACAATCCATGTGTTAGTGGGGTTACATCCCATGTGTTAGTGGGGTTACATTCCATGTGTTAGTGGGATTACATTCCATGTGTTAGTTGGATTACAATCCTTGTGTTAGTGAGGTTACATCCCATGTGTTAGTGGGGTTACATTCCATGTGTTAGTGGGATTACATTCCATGTGTTAGTTGGGTTATATCCCATGTATTAGTGGGGTTACATTCCATGTGTTAGTGGGATTACATCCCATGTATTAGTGGGATTACATTCAATGTGTTAGTGGGGTTACAGTTCATGTGTTAGTGGGGTTACATCCCATGTGTTAGTGGGGTTACATTCCATGTGTTAGTGGGGTTACATTCCATGTATTAGTTGGATTACATTCCATGTGTTAGTGGGATTACAGCTCATGTGTTAGTGGGATTACATCCCATGTGTTAGTAGGGTTACATCCCATGTATTAGTGGGATTACATCCCATGTATTAGTGGGATTACATCCCATGTGTTAGTGGGATTACAGGTCATGTGTTAGTGGGATTACAGGTCATGTGTTGTAGGTATTACTGCTCATGTGTTAATGGGATTACAGCTCATGTGTTAGTGGGATTACAGCTCATGTGATAGTGGGATTACAGCTCATGTGTTAGTGGGATTACATCCCATGTGTTAGTAGGGTTATATCCCATGTATTAGTGGGATTACATCCCATGTATTAGTGGGATTACATCCCATGTGTTAGTGGGATTACATCCCATGTGTTAGTGGGATTACAGCTCATGTGTTAGTGGGATTACATCCCATGTGTTAGTAGGGTTACATCCCATGTATTAGTGGGATTACATCCCATGTATTAGTGGGATTACATCCCATGTGTTAGTGGGATTACATCCCATGTATTAGTGGGATTACATCCCATGTAATAGTGGGATTACATCCCATGTATTAGTGGGATTACATCCCATGTGTTAGTGGGATTACATCCCATGTGTTAGTGGGATTACAGGTCATGTGTTGTAGGTATTACAGCTCATGTGTTAGTGGGATTACAGCTCATGTGTTAGTGGGATTACACCTCATGTGTTAGTGGGATTACAGCTCATGTGTTAGTAGGATTACATCCCATGTGTTAGTAGGGTTACATCCCATGTATTAGTGGGATTACATCCCATGTATTAGTGGGATTACATCCCATGTATTAGTGGGATTACATCCCATGTGTTAGTGGGATTACATCCCATGTATTAGTTGGATTACAGCTCATGTGTTAGTGGGATTACATCCCATGTGTTAGTAGGGTTACATCCCATGTATTAGTGGGATTACATCCCATGTATTAGTGGGATTACATCCCATGTGTTAGTGGGATTACAGCTCATGTGTTAGTGGGATTACATCCCATGTATTAGTGGGATTACATCTCATGTATTAGTGGGATTACATCCCATGTGTTAGTGGGATTACATCCCATGTGTTAGTGGGATTACAGGTCATGTGTTGTAGGTATTACAGCTCATGTGTAAGTGGGATTACAGCTCATGTGTTAGTGGGATTACAGCTCATGTGTAAGTGGGATTACAGCTCATGTGTTGTAGGTATTACAGCTCATGTGTTAGTGGGATTACAACTCTTATGTTAATTGGATTACAGGTCATGTGTTAAAGGGATTACATCCCATATGTTAGTAGTGTTACAGCTCATGTGCTAAGGGGATTACATCCCATGTGTTAGTGGGATTACAGCTCATGTGTTAGTGGGATTACAACTCTTATGTTAATTGGATTACAGGTCATGTGTTAAAGGGATTACATCCCATATGTTAGTAGTGTTACAGCTCATGTGCTAAGGGGATTACATCCCATGTGTTAGTGGGATTACAGCTCATGTGTTAGTGGGATTACAACTCATCTGTTAGTGGGTTTACACCCAATGTGTTTGTGGGATTACAGTTTATGTGTTAGTGGGATTACATCCCATGTGCTGGTGGGATTGCAGATCGTTTGTTATTTGGATTACAGCCTATGAGATAGTGGGATTACAGCTGATGTGACCGCCTCCGTGGTCTAGTGGTAGAGCGTCCACCCGGAGAGCGGAAGGTCCGGGGTTCGATCCCCGTCCGCGTCATACCAAAAGACGTTAAAAGATGATACTTGGTGTTACCCTGTCTGGCGCTCGGCATTAAGGGGCTGAGACAAGGACTGGTCGGCTCGGAGTCAGTATACTGTGTCTGAGTGGAGTATTCATGTTAAACTGCGGCATGGTATCTCAGTGGGCTAGCGCTATAAATCGGCATCAGTCCGGACAAGTACAACCAGCCACACACATACACACGTGCATGCACGTCGCTATATAAGTGCAGCAATCTTGGACACGACGTTAAACCACATATCACCTCGCCTCACCTCACAGCTCATGTGTTAGGGGGATTACAGTTCGGGTGTTAGTGGGATTACAGTTCGTGTGTTAGTTGGATGCAAGTGATGTAATATGAAAGCCAAATGCAAGCAAGAAGTCCTATATAGCTGCTGTTTTGTGAGTTTCACGCTCCACGAGGGCAACTCACACCTGAATAAGAGACCTTATATATAAAGGAACTTGGTTTTCGCCAGCTGAACACATACATATACACGACAAATATCTGCCACCTACGTACCCTGAAATCTAGGTATGCCATTTTGAGAAATCTATTCTCTCCTTTAGACTCCTGAGACCAATATCACTCCCCATCCCCATCCCCATCCCCATCCCCATCCCCCACCCTCCCTCACACGACCCCCCCCCCCCCCCCCCCCCCCCCCTGTTATAAATTACCTGTCCCTTATCCCTTATGTTTTGCAAAATTTACAATGATGACTGGCGTTGTTGTGGAACAACTTTTAAACACCTTCACTGTGCACCGTAATAACATTAGATAATGTTTGACTGGTTGACTGGAAAATAATTTTAATGTGTCTATATTATATTTACAATGATAGTTTTAACGTGCATATTTTGTTTGACAGTATCCTCGGATATGCATGAGCTATATTACTTGCTTATACACAAACCCATATGCATAATTGAAATCACCACACCCACGGATCACGTATCTCTGAATTGACTTGACAACTGCCAAATGTACTTTAGAAGCGTTCACTCAGACGTGTGTATGTAGCCCATATTTAGATTAGTTATTTGGTCTATATATATATAACGTTAATGTATTTTTATCTCTCACAATAAGCTGTCCTGTCGTATTACACGTTCTTCTATCAGAGGCCACCGACGCATAATGCGACAAAAGAAACAGGGCCGCACCCACCAACCCTGTTGAACTCCATGTGGACGTTCAAACAGTTAACTGGGTGTGGACGGAATACTTCTTATTTACCGACATGAATGTATCAGTTCCCATCCGCTGATTTCACCACTCATAGAGTTAACGTATATTCTGTTATGATAATACTATTGATATCTATTGAATCGCTCTCAGAGCAAACAAAGCGTAAACATCAAGAGGGCGCTTTCATGTAACCCATAAATGGGGCGCGGGTATTCAATTTATTTTATGTCGCGGTTTGTCCCAAATAGACCTGTAGTTATATTGAAAAATGTAGACGAATATATGAATACGGTTTTTATGCCTCGACTGAGTACATAGAAGTTACCCCGAATACTTTATACGATGAACGAATTGTTTGCTCTTCTATGGGCTTCTACAATGCATAAATAACAATTAGCATTGTATATGGAGGCGAAATATATCACGTCTGTTGTGTACAATAATTGCACTCGTCTGAAAAAATCATAACAACAAATTCACAACTAACATTGACATAGCGCTAAGCAATACAACAAAGCACTGACAACACAAAACACCATAACACAACACACATCGGAGTTCCAGTAAATTGTCTAACCGAAGGTATTCAGTAAGGGGACATCATAACGCACAATAAAATGAAAGTGTGTCACTGATAGGTTATAGGCCATAAACACACTGGGACGGGAGTGCCCCACAGTGCAGTTAACACCAACTGACTACTGTTATCTCCATACAAAGGACCAAAAGCGAATGTTAGCCTGACATTGTGCTTTTGTGAGACCCCTATATAATTCAGGGCAAGTTGAATAGAGCCTCAACATCTGATCACGTAGGC